CCAAAAAGTTGGTGGCATAGAGTGTGAGGCATTTCAAGCTGTCGTCTACCTCATTAATCGTATGCTCACTCCAGTCATCGAGTACGAGTCGCCATTTGAAAAATTATTTCATAAATCCCCGAACCTTCAAAAACTTAAAGTATTTAGTTGTCTATGTTATCCATGGTTGCGTCCATATGCCTCACATAAGATAATATCAAAATCTAAACCTTGTGTTTTCATTGGATACTCCCTTGACCATAATGTCTTTCGATGCTATGAACCTCAATCTCGAAAGTCTTTACGTCCCATCATGTTATTTTTATCGAGACTATATTTTCATTTCACAACACCCAGAATCTCCTACTATGCCACCTACTCCATCACATATACATCACTGGAGTACACCATCAATCCCGTCAACTGAGTCTCCCATAATATCATCCCGCCCTTCTCCTCATGATCCACTCTCTTATTCTCTCGGTGCAACAGCTCCTCACCCCCTCCATTGTGCCTCTCTCTTCTTTAGTAGGTTCCTCTACGACTGAAGGCATTTCCTCGGAATCATAGTCGCTACCTTTATCCTCTCCTGGGACCAATGACACTGAAGTCCCTCGGCCTCCACCGCTCATACCTACAACACACGCTATAACCCCCGGACATCCAATGATAACACGATCCAAAAGTGATGTCTTTAAACTACGACAAATCCTTTAGCATGGAACAGATTATGTCATAAAAAGATAGATTAACCGGGCCTATGTTCACTGGTATGCATGAATCCCTAAACCAGCTTACAGTATAATCTCCAGACGAAGTGACGCCTTTGGAACCAAAGAAGCCAGATAAGAAAGAAACCAGACCGAAGGTAAAGACCTCACATCGAATGGCGAGGGTTCGTCTTCCTTGCTCTCGTTTCCATCGTCGTCCTCTACGGCCTCGTCCTCGTCACCGTCTGCGCTGAAGGAGCACGCTCCCGTTTGCTTCCGCCCGCCGCACGGAGACGGAAACGACAGCAACGGCGTGGGCTGTGGTGGAGACGGAGGGCGAGGGCCCATGCGGGGGAGGAGGGAGGGGAAGCCCCGCGTGGCGGAAGCGGGGCGGCGAGGACGACGACGAGACGGCCGGCCGCAGCGGCGCGGCGGTGGGGCAGAGGCCAGATATTTTGGGAATTTGTCCAATAATATATATATATATATATATATATATATATATATATATATATCGAAATAGTTTATTTTATATACACTTAATAAGTAATCAGATCTTTCGCAGATATTTCCTCTCTCAGTAACTCATTTTATCTACTTCTAATTATGATTAATATTTGTTCACGAAACAAATTAATATATCGAATATAAAAATATAATATTAGCTAAACATTATAATATTTTCCATTTAACCATCAAATGATATATTCATAATCTCCTAAATATAATTTCCATTTTATTCTCGTTCGAGCTATCTCTGCACTTGCGGGCACGTCGTACTGAAGCACGAGAAGTTCTCGTCGAATTCGACTCATCTTCTACATCGGGAAGCAATCTGTGTCAATCCATCCTTACTAGGCGTATTGAGACCGCTCAATTCGTGGGCTTACCCTTCGACAAAAGGTCGGTAAGAAAGGATCATTAACCCTAGAATAGCAAAGGATGAGCTCTTGGTAAACTAATTTGGCCTTCTTTATGGCTGATGCTGAAGTTTCATCAGTTTGATCGTTTTGGATCGAAGAATTTATAGAAAATTCGCCGGTTGTCTCAATCTCCGGCATTTAAATCAGAAATCTAGGTTTGGCATATTCTCTAGGTGTCGGTGATTGGATCATTTTTCTTGTTCAAAACCCTAGGATCTTCTTTCTACTTCTGAAAGAAAACCCTTTATTTGTTTGTTCGTATCTCTTGATTGCTAGTTGGTTGCAATCTCTATTTCACCCGAAAAGTTGGTATTTTTCTACCAAAAGCTACCACCTTCCTTATTGAGTTGGTTACTGTGATGGGTTGGACGTGATGATTAGAAATGATGCAGGTATCGACTGGGACCATAGCAAGTGGGAGCAACTTCTCTATTTGAACTGCTTCAATGTCCAAAAAAGGGTTTCAGAAGCTAGAGTGTTTGAATTTATTGTCTAGACGCACTGATGATAGTGTGTTGGCTGTTTTGAAAGAAGTGGGGCCGGTAATTATTGGTTTTGGTTGCCTTAGATTTGTTGAAGCTGGTTATTTCGAGAAACTGAGCTGCCCAAGCAGTTGGGTGTTTTTTTGGGATTTTCAGGAGAGTCAGGCATATGTTTGTTGATTTGGGGTCATACCTGTGCTTGTTTCATTAATAAAGGAGGGTAATTCCTCAGTAATGCTCTCATGATAATTTCTAGTTTTGTTTACTACCTTAGACCTGTAGCTCAAGCTGGTGCAATCCTGTTGTATGTGGAGCTGCACAAAGGACCTGAACCCCTTGGAAAAGAAATTGCTGAATATGTTTTTTGTGTATCGGCTCTAGAGAGGAGAATGCTGTGATGTATCAGAAGAGATGGTGAGGATTCTTGAGGCTGATGCCGAGAAGGCAAAAGCTGCAGCTTCATATGTTCTGTGGGATCTTTCAAGGTACAGTCCATTTCTGTTTTCAAATAATTGGGTGTAATTCCAGTTCTGGTTGAGCTTTCCCAGAATACAGATGGTGATCTTAGGGAGAAGCCATCTCGTGCTACTACATGACTAAACTATTATGCAGCAAACAGGGATACCATCTTGTTAGCTGGTGCAATTCCTGTTCTTATTGATCTCTTGAGTGGTGAGCTGGATGAGGTGAGAGACTATGCAACAGAATGTCTGATTAACTTTGCAGAAGACCCATTGTATCGAGTGCAAGTGTCTTAAGCCTTTATAATTCAATCGTTTGTGACCATCCAAGATAGATTAATTCAATTCTAGACTACGGTAAGTGTATATTCAGGTCTATGATCAATCCACTTAAAAAAAGGATCTGATGAACCCTGTGATGTTATGATCTTAGGGGCTCAATGACATTGTTATTCTGTTCCTAGCTTTATACGATGTATCAAGTCAAAATGCAAAGTGTATATCCAGCTCTTTGTTACTTTTAGATTTAATTTCTAGTATTACTAATAAATTTTTACTTCAATGGGTCATGCTAACTTGCTCAAGCTTTAGTCGGCTCTTTCTTTGACTCTAGGTGTGTTACTTCTGTAAGTAAATTTGAGTAGTTACATTTTTGTCAACTGAGAAAAAAAAAATTGCATATAGAAGCACCTTTAGTTGTTACAAAAACTTACCATAAAATGGTGTGGCAAATCCATTTGCCTTTACAGAAGAATATTTACTAATTATCAAGACTTGGTCTAGTCTTTTTAGGTTCTTGAGCTCATAACATGAGTCCACATAAGATTATATTTTAGTGTAAGTTACTCTAGATGGTGTTAATTTAACTTAATAACAACGTTGCTTGCTTGATAGCAATTTGTTAGCTACTTTTCATTCAATCTGATTCATTATGTGATGTACATTAATATAGGTGAGCTTAGCTTTAGTTTCATATTACTTGCATGTTCCATATTGCCTGATTATGATCATAACCATAATGCACCAAAGATGCATTTATCAGATTTGCTCATTAAAAACCCATTGCAGAGCTCTATTGATTGTCGTCACTGTTGTATAACATATGTTATATATACATACATGTAATGTGTAACTTAAATACTCATGCAGTTATGCATGTTGGTCATGTTCCAGATGCTGATACACATACATTCTTATTGCATACATATTGGATATTGGATCTGTGACTATTATCCCTTTGTTTCTCTACTCGCACTTAGAATAACTTGCAACTGTAATTTTTTTATAAACCTGACAAAATAAAAATTTTCTCAGATGCAGTAAGTTAAAGTATATGTTTTCATTCTTTCCTGTGTCCTACTTCTTTATGTTCTCCTGACTGTTGCAGTTATTTGATCGAGGCCATCGTAATTGGGGATCCAATATTATTATTAGTTTGTATGGATATAAACCAAAGGAAGACCCACAAAAACATATTAGGTATTTGGTTAATTGCATTATGTGACTAAGGACCCAATCACATTGTTATATTTTGCAGATATAAACTGATGATATTCCTATGCTAGTATTCATTCAAGGAAAACTGAGAACTTCAAAAATATTAAATATTATAAAAGATTAATAGATTTAGATATTTTAAGTCTTTCACCATGATTGTTTTTGGAGCCAATAAACTCAAACCTAATGACTTGGAAAGACCAAAATATCTTAACTAATGTAGTACCCATTCTATTTATTGGAGTTGAACAGTATGCATATCATAATCCACAATGGCAAAGCAGCTAACCTTATCCCTAGACACTACTGATCAAGCAAAATTGTGTACCCCTACATGCATACCATGACCCAGAATAATCAATTTTCTTGGTAAACACTGTCTCAACCAGGCAAAACAATGTGGGACATGAGTGCTGATTGAAGTACATATTCATGAACTTAGTTATCTGATCATCCGTGTTTGTGTTGAGTAGCTGATGATGCATATGCAGATTTTTATTCATGATGATCCAATTTTCTTTCTTTTTTTTTTGTTATAAACTTGATATCAATTCGTCATCATTGATATAAACTTTCCAGTTGATAAAAGACATTAGATAAATCCAGGTAAAACAATTCAAGATCTGTTACCATATGCATCATATGTGCATAATATTATATTGATACTGTTTAGCAGTAACCTTGACTTAATTATTTACATTATCCTGTTTCTGATGGATCTTTCCTTTCAGAATTCCTTCATGTATGTTGTTAAAAACTTATTTTGAATAGTCATAACTCATAAGCTGGCATAGAGATTTTTGTGTAACAGATCAGAAATAACAACTTATTGGAAAAGATGGTCGAAGTGTACCTCATCATTTTGCACTAGCACAAAAGTTCACTATTGGGGCTTGGAACATTTTTGGATAAAGATCAAGTTTGCTTATCTTGATTACTTGGAAACTGAGATTCTTATATAAGTTATTTATGCTTGCCACCCATGACAAGCTTCCAGTACCTCAAATGCTCTTGGATGTCCCCTTTGCCAATGGGATCACCAGTTGTTTATGTAAGTCCCATGGGTGTAGTATCCATTGCTTTTAGTCTAGTTATTCATTCGAGGCATATAACATAATATGAAAAAACTAAGCAATAAGAATCAGCATTGGAGGTCATCAAATTTCTCCCTAGGAGTTGCTGACCCAAACAAGAAACCTTTTTGCATCAATTGATCAGATGTGAGAAAGCTCTTACTAATCTTTTGCAAGTGCCAAGAGATTTTTTTCTCACAATTCAAACTTTCTTAGAAAGGTAAATAATAGATAGTTGTGCATCCTTTGCTGGCATTACAACAGAATTAGTCTCATGAGCACATGAGAGGCAAAGATCAAGAAGGACCATGGTGCTTCAAAATTCAAATACTCTTCAGTTAGCTAGAGAATGTTTGTCATGGATTTTTCAGCAATTTACAAATGCTTATATTGCTCTACATGTTTGTTTAAAAAGGAATAAACGCTTAAGGCTTTTATTAGCAATGTATATGTCTGTACGTACTTATTTCCTAAACAAAATTGTAAGATAACCAAACTTACTTTTTTTCTGTTTGTTTTGTGGTTTAAGCTGATCGAAGTTCTTGTTGATTCAGGAAGAATGCTCTGTTTGTTAAGAAACAAGTATGGTGGTGATCTATGGAATTAATAAGTAAATACTTCGGAGGGTCTGCTCTAAATCAAGCTGCCAATAGTTTGCTGCAAGTATGAAAGCTTTGCTTGTTCTCGAATCTTCAGCACAGGGATGGGACATGAAAATGAGTTCTTCAAACCAAGTTTTGTGGTGAAAAACTTGCAATGAGGATTAAAGGAGGGCTTCTTGCAGGGAGGGAGGCTTCTGCTTTGGAACTATACAAGTTGGAATCTGGAAGTCCTAAAAGTAACTGGCAGCTGGTAAGACATCGTTTCAAGAGTATAATTATCTTCCGACCCTCTCATGCTTTTGCTAGAGCTCTTTGTTTTCTCATTATCGATATCATGCTTCAGATATCCGACATCAAGAGACGAACCAATACAACAGGATTAGGAGAAGAAGACATGTTATGCATCATGTCAGGCCCCATCAAAGATGCAGATGGTTCAAGTGTCATGTAAGAGATCTGTTCTTATATGCAGAAATCTTTCTCGTTTCTTTCTGCAAGACTGGCCAAACAGAAGGAATCTCCTTAAAAGAATTCGACGGTTCATGAGCTAACAACGATACAGCAATCCATCCTTGTGCTGGTTGTGACTCCATGGTCAGCAGTTGGTGCAGCTTTCATGATCAACAGTATCACCACCACCAGGAACATCAAGGACAGCAAGAACGACAGCGTGCACTTGCAGCTCTTAGTGGGTCGCCCAGGCTCAATATCTACCGTGGAGATGTAGACAGTTTGTGAGACTGCAATAATGCACTGAGCCATGCATACCTTGTCGAATTCATGGATGAAGTTTTCTTTGGATGTAGCTAATGGCTGGACTCTGTTCGACATCGCTGCTTTTCACGACTGAAACATGCAGTCAGTTCAACATTATTGTGGGCTTCTATTTGTTCCACTCTGCTGTGTCTGATCCATGCATGAAAGAAGTTATGCTTTTACATATGTCCTTGGAAAGTGTGGAAATTTTTAATATATCTTAGCATCTCTGTCAAGTGTTAAGATTAAAGTATATTAGCTTGTTTGAGTTAAAACATATATATATATATATATATCTTAAAACATCCCTAATATCTTTAGCATAATATTGGTTAATATATCAGTTTGGGCTTATCTAACTTGGATTGTTTCTTATGGACAAACTCATTTTGTGTCATTTTGTTTCAAGATCACTAAGGTGGCTTTTCAAACAAGAAAAAAGTTACAATAATTATTTTTATTCTTAGTTTTCATAATTACTTCTCATTTGGAAATATGTGTTTGACCAAATGCTTGCAGCCTCTTCCTATTTAAAGGATCATGTTTCATATAATTAGAAAAGGTATATATATAATTTTAGAATCAAATAAACTATGCAAAATCCTTGGTGAAAAAAAAAACAATGTACAAACATGTATGCCTATGATTTATATATTCGACTTCTGTTCATTGATGAAGCTATTAGAACAACTGAGCATCGACTAGAAAATTGATGAACAATATTTAAGAATTTTATAAATTAATTAGGGAGAAAGTGATTAATTTAGGATAGTAGGTAGAATGAATATGGCAGTAATGATATCCACCAGGAGACCTAACTCTTAACAATTAATAAAAATACATCGATTAAAAATTTTAAATTATATTTTATAGTTACTTTTTTAATTTTTATTTTTAAAAATTATTTTTTATTATATCATACCAATATGGGACCTATTATTTATATAATAATATACTAATTGTTACGAAAAATCATCATCAACGTTTGAGTTAACCTAACGTGGTTCAGACCCGAGGGTGTAGAAGTATTTGAGGTGGTGATTGAAGTGACTTCGTGAAAGTGTCGAGCTTGCAAGGCACCACTTATACTAAGACCGATATTATAGGAAATTTTTTGACCCGATCCCTCTAACACTTAAGTTAGTCACCGAGATCATTTTTGAGTATAGGTTTTTCTCAAAAGCCAAGCCCTCACATCATAGTACCGAGGATTGCCTTTTATACCTAGCTTTGAGAGGATAATATGTAACCGCTCCAACGTCCCCCTCTTGGCATTTTGTCCACATGGGCAATATGGGAGAGGTAGCCCCGAACAACCTGCCTTAGACTTTTGTCCATGCGGGCAAATGGGCAAGGGGTGACTTGGATCTTTTTCCTTCCACAATAACCTCCACATGGTGCCTATCTGTCGGATGATGTTTGAGCATTAATATATTCCTTATTATTTGTCTCCCTCAAAGCGTGCTTCGAGACTCTTATTGGGGGGGGGGGGGGGCTTGGACTGCAAGGGTCGAGTTTTTCTTTCTCATATGCCTCAAGCACATTTTGTCCTGAGTTGCTGTAGCAAATTTCCCTTAGCGGATGTTGGGTTTCCCCGACTCTAATGCCTTGGCACATTTCACCCTATGCCGCCATTAAAGATTTCTCTTGGCATATGTTGAGTTTTCTCAACTTATACACCTCGAGCATATCTTGCCTTGTACTTCTATCATAATGGATTTCTCTTGATGCGGGTCAAGTTTTCTCGACTCACGTGCCTCGGGCACATGCTCTATGCTTTTGTCATAGTGGATTTCTCTTAGTGTGAGTTGGGTTTTCCCAACTCATGCACCTCGGACATATTTTGTCATATGTTTCTACCATAGTAGATTTCTCTTAGTGCAAGTCAGCTTTCCCCAACTCACACACTTGAGGCACATTTTTCCATGTTCTTTCATTATAGTAGATTTCTATTGGCGTAGGTTAAGTTTTCTCGACTCACATGCCTCGAGCACAATTTACCTTGTGCCTCTGCCATAGAAAATTTCTTGTACTTCTGCGATAGCAAATTTCTATTAGTGTGAATCAAGTTTTTTCGACTCATATGCCTTGGACACATTTCATATTATACTTATTCTAATGAATTTCTTTTAGCGTGGGTCGAGTTTTCTCGACTCACTTCTCGGACACATCTCACCTTTGTTTTCGTCATAGCGGATTTCTCTTAGCACGGGTCGACTTTTCTTGACTCATGCATCTCAGGTCGACTCATATGCCTCGGGCACATCTTGTCTTGTGCTTCTACCATAATAAATTTCTCTTAGCACGGGTCGAGATTTCTCAACTCACACATCTCAAATGCGTCTCTCCCTATGCCTCCACTATAGTGGATTTCTCTTAGCATGAGTTGAGTTTTCCCAACTCACACGTTTCAGGCACATTTTATTATGTGCCTTAGTCATAGCCGATTTCTCTTAGTGCGGGTTGTATTTTTCTAACTCACATCTCGGGTATATTTTCTCATATAGCTCAATTATAGCGGATTTCTCTTGGTGTGAGTCGAGTTTTTTCAACTTATACACCTCGAGCACATTTTACCCTATGCCTCCACCATAGCATATTTTAAATCCTTCATCCACTGTGGCGAGCTTCGAGTCCTTCCTTTGCCATGGCGAATTTTGACTCCTCCCACTATGGTAGATTTTGAGTCCTCCTACCATGGCAAGCTTCAAGTCCTCCCTTTACTATGATAAATTTATAGTCCTCCTCCCACTAAAGTGGGTTTCAAGTCCTCCGTCTGCCATAATGGATTTTGAGTTATCCTCCCGTCGTGATGGGTTTCAAGTCCTCCTTCTGCTGTGATGAACTTCAAGTCATCCCTCTACCTTGGCAGATTTTAGATCCTCTTACTATTGATGTCTCTTGAGAGTTACCATAAAGGGATACAATTCTTAATCGTAGGAGGAGAGAGATCAACATCCTCCTTATAAATCCCCTCCCTCTATAGGTGGGATTCAGTCTTCTATCTAAGCCTTTAGGAACCCTAGTCCTCAGAGCTTGGCGGGAAGCTTTCAGCCTCACCCCCATGGCCTTTTTAGGAGCATTCTTCACCTTGTCTTGGTTTCGACAAGGCTAGTTGGTCTTCAAGTCCCTCATCTTATGTTACTTCTATGAAAAACCAGTCGTAAATCATCTTACCCTTCCGCCTCAAGTTGGGCAAGCTGAGACAGGAGCGGGGCGATAGTCTATATCATAGTTATTAGCGTCTGCACCTACTAGGTGAGGGCCCAGAAATGCCTTAGTAAAGACAAGTGGGTGGCTTGAGGTCGTCTCTGAGGGCAAAAGTTTTGGGTAATTGAACATAAGTTAGTATCGCATTAGCGCTTGCGCCGAAGTGGATGTGTCCACATGAGGGAAGGATGGATCAAAGATGCCCTCTTTAAGTAAAAGTGCTATAGATCGGAGATAGGGCCTCCTCGTTAAAGCGTTCGTTGGGAGGATTGACAAGTGGACGTTCCTACGACATCATACTCTCCTTCTAACACAAAAAAATGTTAGGGAAAATCATCGTTGACGTTTGAATAAACTCGACGTGGTACAAACCCGAGGGTGTAGGAGTGTATGAGGTGGTAACCGAAGTGGCTTTGAGGTGAAAGTGTCAAGCTCTTGAGGTGTCACCTACACTAAGATTAATATCGGGAGAAAATTTTTGACTTGATCCCTCCGACACTTAAGTTAGTTATCGAGGTCCCTTTTGGGTATGTGTTTTTCCTAGAAGCCAAGCCCCCTAGTATAGCGTCGGGTAGTAACTTTTATACTTGACCTGACCTTAGAGGGGACAACATGTAACCGCTTAAATGTCCCTCTCTTTGACGTTTTATCCACGTGGATGAGAGGGTGGAGATAGCCCTAAGCGGCCTACTTGTCTATGTAGGCAAACGGGAGGGAGATAACTTGGACATTTTTTCTTCTACGATAGTTTTCACGTGGCACGTAACTATCGGATGATCGTTGATCATTAATATATTTTTTACCACTAATCAATTCAGATATTTCTATAAAAATTTTAAAAATTAATTTAATCAAGAATGTGATATGATTAGATACTTTTTAATAAGAGAAACTAAGTTTTGCTTTAAAAAATAGAGGTGCTTTTTGAGAATTAATTAATTAATTAATCGATCGTAAGAAGAAAATAAAGAAAAAGAAAAAAATAACCATCACTCGCACAATGGATACCGAGTGAAGTCGGCCTACCAACGTCACCTCTGTCTCCGCATCTTTGGAGATGAGACGAAGATATTGGAAGCCGAGAGTGTTCTAATTGGGGATCTCGTCGGAGATTTGACACTGAAATACCCAATTCTGGAGCCTCCAGAGCCAAGGAGATCTTGCCAGGCCGATCCGCCTTCTTAGGTTGCCTTTTGGTGCGATTCCAAGACTGCGAGACGGTAATCTTTTGAGAATCCTTTTGTGTTGTCCAAATTTTTTCGAATTGAATGCGAGTGGAAATCATCGTGACTCGACGCGAGCGTTGGAACTTGGAATTGTAGGGTTTCTTTGCGCGGAAGAGGGCGATGAGCAAGGGGCGGTCTCCCGAGCCGTTGGATTTCTTTATTTGGACTGTCGAGGTATGTTTTGATCAACATAGCGTCTTGGTTGCAGTGTGAATCTCATGACGGGAAAGAAAATTTTCGACTTTGTGAAGGATTACTTGTCTCTTTATGCATACTGAATGTTTCTATGTCCATTGGGCGTATAATCACATGAACTGGTTGTCTTGTCCTTTGATTTGTCAACTCAAAGTTTCAAGCTTAGCTAGGTCTTCAATGTATTGTAAATTTATGTTCCATGGAACAGCTGGTGCCAGGAAAGTTGTTTTAGGTAAAATATAGGGGAAATTCAGTTGTGCCCTAATTAAGATCAGAACTTTAATTTCAAGATGCCCGACTGGAATTGAACTAATCCATGTAGTTTTTCTTTTGCTTGGTTGCCAACCTAACTGATTAATTGGGTATGTGGGTTAATGAAGAAGATGGACGGTTATTTGATCAGGAACATATGGGTTTGAACTGCATGATTAGAGTTAAAATCCTTGTGCATAACTCGCTGGTGTTCCATGGACAGATGGGTCTCTTAATCATGAACCGGGCACCCGCTCTGAGTCTATGTGTTAATGCTGGAAGTATATAAAGGAAAATTCCCATCAACACATAGGATATAGCCAAAAATTCATATA